ACATCTTTTCAGGCTATTTGTTTATTTTCTCTCTATGTTTTCATCCTTCTTGTATTCTCTCTATCTTTGTCCTTTTGTTTCCTTTGTCTGTTTTTTAATTATCTGTTCATGTCTCTTTCTGTTGTCTTATCCCTTTAATTTTTCATTCTTCGCTGTTTTACATCTTTTTTTACAGTCTGTTTTATTTCATCCTCACCTTCTTCACATCCTTCTTCACCTTCACCTTAACTCTTCAGTCATTAATTAATATCGGTCTATTAACACTGATAATATTAGTTGTAATTAGGGTTGAATATCATTATTTATTTTTTTCCTGATACTGGACCTAAAACCTTTTCTAAAAGACCACTGATGAACCGAAAATAAATAAATAAACTTAAAATTGACCATTATAATAACTTAACTTTAATATATGAATATGAATAAAAAACACTTACACGATATAAAAAATAAAACATAACCCAACTACAATAATTTATCATTAAATAACTGTTGTCATTCAGACACTTTTCAGGAAATCGATTAAAATGGGCAAATATCTTGGAAATATTTGTGTTTTAGCTCCTCACTCAGATTCGCCTACGTAAACCTAGGTGTATATTGAGTTTGAAACTTCAAAGCGGGTTTCCAGATACAAAGTGGAACTAACTTAAAAATATCTCCATGTATTATTCAGCCTATTAATTATCACATTTGTTGTTGCTGTGGTTCATAAATACATGCACAGTGAAGGTAATTGTACGTGTAATGAGCTCTTTAACTTTGTTGAAGATGAATTTTCTGTGGATTTTTTTATTTGTTAAAAACAGTAGGAACCCAGATAACAGTTACAGTACTAATAACAACAAAATAAAGCTTGAGTTGGTATTCCTGGTATTCTACATAAGTACACAAATATTGTAATATTTGCTAAGCTTTAGGAAAGGCTGCTGGGCGTTCACTCTGCCGGCTCATGTGCTTGGCATGGGGTTACGCGAGCTGTCGAGCACGTTTCTTTTACACACAATCGTTTTTTTTAAATTTGTTGCACTTCTAAACTAAGATTTGCATCAAAAACGTGTCCTCTGCTCAGTGTATTTTAAAGACAAACTTCAGACGGTAGCCCGTAGCCCATTCTCACAGTTGGAAGGTATAACTTGAACTATCATGTGATTTTGTCCTTTTTCTGCTTTAAACACAAAATATGGGTGAAATTTTCATTCAGTCGAAGCATTTTGTTCACTAAAGGTCATTAAAATGAACATGTTCTTGTATTATATCACTAATATAATAATTTTAATATTGTTTATCCTCATTTTTACTAAATGTAACTAACTGATTACGTAACTATTACATGTAACTAGATATAGATAATCGATTATCTGGCATTTTGAGATGGCTGATGTTTGTGCTCCTGAGGCTGATAAACAAACAAATGTTTGCATCCTGCTGTAAACATAAATAACTTAACTTCTCTAAATAACATGTTTCTCCCATCCTAAATGACAGCTAATCTAAAACTGTCACTGGCTAGTGTTAAATATGTTATAATGCAGTTGAATGTCTACTCTGACATACTATATTTCATTAATTAATACAAACTATCTAAAACAAGTATATTAGTCTGTAATGTGAATTGATTAGTAGAAAGCTCCATTTCTGAAAACCACCTGAAACACAGAAGGTGATGTAGTTTGTTTTTTTGTTTGTTTGTTTGTTTGTTTGTTTGTTTGTTTTATTTGGAGCAAACAGAAGAAGTAGTGAGTGCTTTCAGGTGGATTTCCCCTTTAAAAATCAATAATAAACCTTTTTCATGATGGGTCAGTGTTAGTCCCAGACATGTTTCTCACTTTTTATCTTTTCATTACCCATCATCCTCTGCCCCTCTCTCTCTATCTTCGTTCTTTAAACGCACATCATTTCATCATGTTACGCCCTCCTTCTCTCCCCCCCTCTGTCCATCATCTCCCCCCCCACCTCTCCTCTCGCCGTGCCCTCCCCTCTTTCTCTCCACCCTTTCGTTTTCGTTCATTTTCTCCCACGTCGCCTCTCGGATCCTTCAATCTCTTTTCCCCGCGCTGTCACCTTTTCATCCTTCCTCGTTGCCTCCTTCGCTTTCTATCCATCCTTCTTCATCTCTGGCTATTTTTCCTCTCCGTCCATCGCTCTGTGTTTCTGCCTCCATTAGGGGGAAATGGAAAAAGTGACATCAGCTATTTGGTAAACGGAGAGAGATGGAGAGAGAGAGAGAGAGAGAGAGAGAGAGAGATGGAGAGACAGAGAAGATGAAACGGAAGACACAAAAAATGTAAAGCAAAGATCAAAAGAGTGACATGAGGGAACGATTGTGAAAGGGAGAAAAGGAAACAAGAAAAGAGAAATAAAGAGAATGACAAAGGTGAGAGAGAATTAAAGACAGGAGTATGAGGAAGAGAGAGAGAGCGAGAGAGGTAGAGATCCATTAGAGAGAGAGAGTGAGAAAGAGGGAAAGGCTTCACCTCATTAACCTCGTAATGCAGAGTAAATATACAGTCTAAATGGAACATAGACGCTGTGTGTGTGTGTGTGTGTGTGTTTACTCCTTCTGTGTGTGAGTGTGTCCATGAAATACATTACCAGAATACCAGAGTGCCTGTGTGTGTGTGTGTGTGTGTGTGTGTGTGTGTGTGTGTGTGTGTGTGTGTGTGTGTGTGTGTGTGGAATATCTTCTAAAATACCACAGTGTGTACGGGTGTCAGTGTATTACAATCCCGGAAGTTGGCATCACGAAAAGAGAAACTATAACATCAGCTGATTATAAAGCTGCATATGAAAGCTGCTGTGTTAACTAGTCGGTTACATGTTACTAATCTCGTTAGTCGACACCAGAAATAGTCGGTGGAACTAATGATCAGGTTTTATTAATGTACAACGTTGGTTAATGTCGTCTTTACGCAGCCACCTGCCACTGCGGCCCCTCGTCCCCCGCACTAATGCCACTGCTGGTTTTTAAGAGTCCTCTTTGTCCCACTTTAGGAGTTATAGTTGTAGCATTTGGTTAACTGCAGTCTGCTTTCACTCTCTACCATCTAACCTCACACCACTAATAGAGATGGCAAAGTTAGGATGACAGAGATCACATTTTAATCCAGCCAGTGGTGGAAAAAGATCTCTAAAAACTCAAAAGGCATCGATCTCCCTCTCTCTCTCTCTTCGTCTAATAACACGAACAGCATCTTAAATTAACTTTTAATCCTTCACTGTGTTGTCCTGCCTAAAGTTATTGTCCATATGTTGCCAGTTTCAGTCGTATCCCAACGTGTTCTGACATGTAAATGCTGATTATGTAACAAACTGCCCCCACGGCAAATGTGTTTAACAGGATATACTGAGGAACATAACTTAAAGCCTGGCTGTGTGTGCGCTATGTGTACTTAGTCTTAGCATTTAATTACTTTTGGACTAGTCCACTAGTCTTACTTTGCTGTTAATTAAATGAAAAATGTAATTTAGTCACCAGGAACATCCCTAGTATTAACTGGTATAGCTAGTATATTTTTCTATTTTTCATATTTCTAATGAAAAGACCAAAACCAACACTGTGTCAGTCTGTCTCTCAATAGTTTATCTTCCTCTCTTAAAGGTCCAGTGTGTAACATTTAGGATCTACTGGCAGAAATGTAATATAATATTCATAGGTATGTTTTCATTAGTGTATAATCACCTGAATAAAGGAATGTTTCTGTTCCCTTCGAATGAGCCTTTATAGCTACAGATGTGTGTTCGCCATGTTTCTATAGTAACCCAGAACGGACAAACCAAACACTGAGTCTAGATCGGAGCGTTTGTTTTTCACGCGTTCTTGGCCACCGTAGTTTCTCCGTCACGCTTGGAAAGAGAGCAGAAAGCGAGTGAGTTGCAGTCTTCAACTACACTGCTAGATGGCACTAAATCCTACACACCTTTTAAAACTCTGTATTTACAGTTACTGTTCCAGTTATCAGTCTTGGTGTTGACGGACCATCCAATCGTCACACTGCGTTGTTGTTTTTATTTAATCAGTCATCAGTGTAATCTGCCTAATCTTCACCAGACTTTAGACGCAGTGGAAACACAAACTGTAATGTACAAATGTAGCTGTTAGTACGATGGAGTGTTAGGGCCAGACTTTTTTGGGGGGGAAATTACAAGAATAAAGTCGTAATATTGCGAGAATAAAGTAGTAATTTTATGAGAACTGTTGGCTCAGCCAGCAAAACTGTTTTACGACGAAATGATGAATACGTTAGTTTACCTTTATGACTGTACGGTACGACTGAGACAAACAGCGGCTGCTGGGCTCAGGCTGAGGCTGAGCTGTTTGGTTGAGCTGCTCACGTCAGATCTTGATAAATCAAGATTTTTCTCATTAAAAAACGAAATTACATTGTTCTCGTAATATTACGACTTTTTTCTCGTAATTTCCAAAATGTCATTTATTTTTCCTCTTAGTATGGCCCTGATACTCCATCGTGCTGTTAGTTCTAGTACCTGAGTTTAGTTCCTGGAGCTTTTCGCTCAAAAGGTGCTGTAAGAGGTCTTAGTTCGGATCTGTGGACACGTTTACCAAAGAAATGTTAAATTTTTATACTAAATGGCTTTAAGAAAATTCTTTGTTTGGTTGGGGTTTTTTTATTACTTGATTGCAGTTTTCATCAGTATTGTTTTTTTTCTACTAGCAAAACTGTAGGATATCAGAATAATTTGAAAGAGATAAAGTGTGTGTGTGTGTGTGTGTGTCTGTGTGTGTGTGTATGAATCACCACTGGACAGCAGTCATTATAATACTGTATATTTGCAGTCAGCTCAAACCCAGAGAACAGTGACAGACTTTAGAGATCATCAGGAGAAAAAAATAAAACAAAAACAAGAATGTTTCTATCTACACGGAATATCCCTTTTAAACCCAAACCCCGCCCACCCCGAAACCCCCGCCCACCCCTCATCCCTCCCCGTACACATTTTCAAATAGTAATCAACAAATAAACAAACAAAACACGCAGTGGAATAAACAAAACTGCAACACAACAGTCTGCACTCTTTATAGGTCAGAAAATCAGGGGAATAAAAAGTTTCTTGTGTTTGATGTAGCTGAGGAGCGCTTGATTTACACGCCTGAAGTACCTGTTTGTCACTTCAAGGCAGATAATCTGGAATAAGTTTTCAAATCCAACCAAAATATAAAAAAAAAAAAAAAAAAATGAATTTAAGTAAGTTATTGTGTTTAAAAACAGACAAATCAAGCGCTCCTCCTCTTTAAAATTTGACACACACCTGAAACTTGACTACTACTTTCTGGTCACGGGGGAAACAAGGGTCAAAAGGTCAAAAAGGTCCAAAGATGAGGAAGAGAATTTAACGTACCTTTTTTTTTTTTTTTTTTTTAGGATATAATATCGTGTCTAAAAATCACTCCATTGTAATAAAAAAAGGGTTTTGTTGTTTTTTTTTTTTTAACTTTTGCATCATTTGAGAAACTGATTTCACAGGTTAAGGGTGATAGAAAATACTTCATACATTGAAAAGCTGCATCCAACATTTTCAGAGTAATGCCTCCTTACAGAGAGAAAGAGAGAGAGAGAGAGAGAGAGAGAGAGAAAGAAACAGGAAATAAAGGAGGTATAGGAGAAGCAAGGAAAAAGGGGGAGGAGTCGAGCAAAAAAAGTGAGAAGATATAAGAGGAAGAGGTGATAATTCATAGAAAAGAGAGAAATGGAGCCAAAAAAGAGGAAGAAAAGAGTATAAAAGGGGGGAAGAAGAAGAGAGAGAGAGACTTGGAGGTAAGGAGTGTACGGAGGATAAAATAAACCAAATGACAACATAAAAGTTTTCCCATGCATTTTTTTCAGTCCCTGTACGGAAAACAAAAGTGAATGAAACACGAGAGACCGAAATAGCCCCCCCCGAGTTGTTTCTCCTTCCCAATATTTTTTACTCCACTTCTTCTTTTTTATTCTTTTATTATAACCCCTCTTCCTCCAGTCCTGAGCTCCTCCGATCAGCTGATTACCGTCCAATCAGAGGGGGTTGACAGCCAGCCAATGAGGTTGACCGAGGTTCGATCAAACCCAGAGGGGGTTCGAAACTTTTTTCTGTTATTATTATTATTATTATTATTTTTTTTTTAGGGAACGTTAATAACAACGTTGAGTCTGTTCATCAAACCATTCTTGTCCTGTGGGTCACATTGGGACCATTTTTATAAAGTCTTCAAGTCTTTTAAATGTCCCAAATTGAACCCACATGATGTCCAACCAAGTCGTTTCGAGATGCGAGCGCGTTGATGTCAGTCCGGTTTGCTTCGTGGTGACTTTTTCCTTTTTCTTTCCTCGGGGAATGATTTTTTACTTTTTTAATCAGTTTTTTCGAAAACAAACGAGGGATGGGAGACGTCCCGGTGCAGGGAGAGAAAAAGAGGAATGAATGGAGTGAAAGTTTGTCTAAAAAGAAGAAAGAGAATAAAGAGACGACCCCAGTGAGTCCAAATCATGGGGGGGTGTGTGTGTGTGTGTGTGTGTGTGTGTGTGTGTGTGTGTGTGTGTGTGTCGTAGTAGTCTCATTGTTTTAACGTCAAAAAAAGTTTGCGTGTAGCAAAGATAGAATCCCGCCTGGGGAGGTTGTTGCCGTGGTGATCCAAGCCGTGGTTGCTGTGGAAACGGGCTGGTGGAGTTCCAGAGGAGGAAAGGTGGGAAGGGAGAGGGGGGGGGTTCTGGAGGCGGAGTCCTTCCTTCTTAGAACATCATGGGGTTCTTCAGAAACGCCCGGGATTCTGGGTAAAAAAATAAACACACAGAGGAATCTGTAAATAAACAAAAGGGAAAATAAAATGGATGTCATCTTTTAAAATATGATACAGGATGTTTCTGACATATTCTACAGATAAAGACATTGTGTATATGTTCTACTATAATGTCAGTGTGACTAGAAACACATGCTTTTATTTTGGTAGGAACCACTTGCTGGATAAAAAATGGCTAGTGAGGCGTCGGGCAGGACGGCGTGACCTGTTCACATGTGCGCACACAGAAAGCCACTGCAGGCCGTAAGAATTATTCTCTTTATCCGTTAATCTGACAATTATTTTAAAGTTAATAAATCAAATGTTTGTTTTATAAAATGTCCAAGTTGATATATTGAAAGGATTTTCTTTGCGGTTACAGTTAAAAACCGAAAGATATTCAATTCAATGTCACAGAAGCCTAAAGAGAATAATAATAATCACATTTGAGGAGCTGGAACTGGTGATGTATTTATTTATTCTGCATTTTGGCTTTAAGATTTGTGACATTTAGCAATATAGTTACAGATTGCAACCAACCCCCTGTTTCTAAGCTCAAAGCAGAAACTATGGTGGCTGTGAAACACATGAACAGCCCCAGAGACAGTGTTTCATATTGTGGCTTAAAGGTTGCGGCATTTGTAGATATGACCGGCTCATGCTAAGGCAACAAAAACAGCGATTTTTATTTACAGGTGATTACAAACTAAAGAAAACAAACCTATAAATATTATATTTCTGCCAATAGAGCCTCCTAAATGTTTCACACGGGACCTTTTTACAAACTGACTTAAAACAATCAACTATCCAAATAGTTCCAGATGAAATGTATAATTTCAGCTCCACTATAAAGTCAGTAAACCGAATCCTTCCTACACCGTATGAGACAATGTTCCTCCTCTGTCCGTCAGCAGCTGTTTGTTTGGAGACTGAAACTTTATAGATCTCAAAGTTCTGTTAAACTGAGATCAGACTCGTGGTATCAGTAGCTGACACGCTGATACAGGGCCGACCCATGCAGCTCATTATTTTAAATTAGCCCCACATCTTTTAGTCGTTACCACCAGCCAGGCGTTGCTCTTTACACACACACACACACACACACACACACACACACACAGCTGTACTACACCCAGCAGAAGCAACTAGAGGCCTCAAACTAACTATCTCTGTACGTACTGTACAAATCGCCACACCTCCACTGTTTCCTCTTGTTGCTGCGAGCCGGTGCAGCATTTTAAAGTGTATTTAATTTAAAAAGTGCAGATGTTAGTGAGCTGCAGTCGTACAGGAACTTCACACTTTGATTATTAAAGCAGGACGTTGGTTTTTAGCTCAAAGTGTTGCGTCTTGTTCTCCCTTAATGCTGCATCCGTTTATGATAGAAATCTCATATCTCCAATTTTGCCAGGGTCGGCTCTCCCTCTCTCTCTCCTCTCTCTCTCTCTCTCTCATTTCACCTCCGTAGTTCTCCTTCCGCTCCCCGTAGTGCTGTTGCTGCACCCACCCACACAGGAGCATGTGCACACACACACACACACACACACACACACACACACACAGCACGCACGCATGCATATAACAAAAACGGACAGAAACACACTCGCGTGCACACCTTCCTCTCCCCGCGGTGTCATTGTTTTCTGCGAACGTTGCAAAGTGTTTACATTTCTGCATAACAGCAACCATAAACCTGCCCTCCCTCCCTCCTCTCTCTCTCTCTCCTCTTTCCATCCTGCACTTCTCTTTCTTTTTAACTTATCTTACTCTGCTCTTTGTCATCATCTTACCCTTTCGTTTTGTCCTCTATTCATCACTTTGTTTTGTTTTTTTTAGATATGAAACAGGTTCGAGGTCTCCGTGTTGGAATAAAAAAAAAACTTCCTTAAATTTTCTCTTTCATCTTGCGCTCGCCCTCTCGTTTCCTCCTTCATATTCCCTGCCTTCCCTCCTTTTCATCCCTCTCATCTCCTGCCCTTCCCTATTTTTATCACTCCACGATCCACTCAAACCCCCTCCTCTCCTCCTCTTTCATCCCTCTATTCTACATGCATCCCCTCCTCCTCCTCACCTCCCCTCTGCTCCCTCCTGTCCTCTATCTGTTACTCTCATATTATTTTTATCCCGACCCATTCTTCTCTCTGTCCTCTCCTGTCCTTTCTTTTTCTCCTTTAGGCAGCAGGTTTGGCCTGGTGTTAAAAAAACTGTCCTGCAACTTAAAAAGTCGCAGCTTTGATTCCCCCCCCCCTCGTGCTGTCCTTAAAACTTAAATCTGTAACTTCACAATCACACTGATGTTCAGATTTGTACATTTTCTGCCTGATAACTAGGGCGGCAACTAACAATTGCTTTTATTTTCTTTTAGGGATGGGCTCGTTTGGACGTCAGTATTGAGAGCGCAGCCAACAGGTAATGTTCAAAGCACAAAGAAAAGTCAGTGGAGACGAATAAAAACCTGTCATCACCTCATTTAGCTCACGCTAGCAGTGTTGGCAACCGCTGTTGTGATGCTACCAAGGGGCAGAGAAGATTAGGAGATATGATCCCGTTAGACTTTGTGCTGATTGTGTTTGTAGAGCCTGAGTAGAAGCTAGCATCGCGGCTAACAACAACTACAAGAGCGGAGATGAACGAGGAAAGTGTGAATTAAATAAAGTGTTTAAGCTATAGCCGACAGGCCAAAGTGGCTGCAGATGAAAGCAACCACATTTTTTACGATGTAGATTACGGAAATTATTACAAACATCTTAATATTTGTGGATATTGTTTTGCCTCATGTCGGCTAATCAGTACAGTCTATAGTAATTCACTGCAAGTAATCAAATATGGAAATTACTTAAAATGCTGATAAATCTGCTTCATTATTTTTTTAAGTCATTGTTTGTTCTATAAAATGCCTTAAAATTGTGAAAAACACCCAAGTTGATGTATTTAAATATCTTGTTCTTGTACGATTTTTGCTTAAAAAAATGACTCAGACAATAAATGGATTATCAGAATGGTTGCAGATGAATTTCTGTTTGTATTGAATCCTCAAAATAATTGTTTCAGCTCAGGTAAAACACAGAAAGTGGCATATATTCATAACAGAGCTGCAACTAATGTTAATTTCCATTAATTCATTAATTGCTATCTTTTTTAGTCTATAAAATATTAGAACTCCGGTTAAACATCTTAAAATATCTTGTTTGTCCAAATCCAAAGATATTAAGTTTATAAGTATGTACTGTGACCCTAAAAATCTTTATATTAGTTGATTATTTAATAATAATAATTGGAATTTTTCTCTTCATCATTTAATTGACCAACCAATCATCGACTAATTGTTGCAGCTCTACTTTCAAATATATTCATGTCAGAAGTTTAAAGACCGAACAGTTTCCCAGAGGATTGTAAGTAATGTGTAACATGATGCAGAGTTTCTATCAAGAAACCCAAAATGTGGTTGTGAAGTTGTTTCTGAACAGAGTTAGACTAATTAATCGGCCAATGAGTAACGAGAAGTTACTGTACTACTTTATAAAATGACCCACTTTGTGAATATTTTGTTTAAAATTAAATTAATAATTAAAAACAAACACAAATCTAAGAGGTCAAAGAAATCCAGCTGGGCTATATTTCAGAATAAAATACACTGGAGATGGCCAGTATTGTCATTAATGTAATGTAGTTCATAGTAAATAAAACAAGACATGAAGCAACTGATGTCAATGTTTAACTTTGGGAAGCTGTTTGTCAAATCTGTAAAGTTCATCGACATATTGTAGAAATTGTAATACGACCATAGTGCAACATCCAAATTGTAGAAGCTGTAATTTTAGATTTTCCACTGATTAAAAGGTCAATAAGTGACAGAACAGCGTTATAATAAAGTCCTGTAGTGCTGCCCTACAAATCTACTTCTCTACAGACCCCAACAAATGTCACATAATCAGGATTTTAACTTGTTTCTTTTAGTGAAAATTAAAAATGTGACACAAAAATGATCATTCCCACTAATTTGTGAATCATATTGTGCAGCCTCTATTTAATAGGCAAAATAAAATATATTTAAAATAATACAACATTTGATGTTGAGGCATCACATCTCATTTTGATTTTAATCATTAATTAATTTTGACATATAAAAAGTTTCTGCTGAAAGACGATGAATGTTTTCTCAACCAAACATTTAATATTTAGTTTTTAGTTTTCCCAGATGTTCCTGAACACCACACTTTATACAGTGGACCTCTTCTAGTATATTTTAACACTTTTTCTAGTGTAAACTCTCAACAGACTGCAGTTAGAATCTGTTTGTTTTTGCTATCAGACGTAGAGAATCAGTGGGGAAAAGGAGGCTTTTATTTATTTATTTATTTATTTATTTATTTAATCATCTTCCTGCTCATTTCCCACACTTTCTTCTCCTCCTCCTCTACCATTCTTTTTGTCACTGTTTTGACCTGGCAACCCTGTTTCCTACCCCCTCTCACCTCTATCTGTCACTGTAAAGTACAACTCCACTGTGTGTATGTGTGTGTGTGTGTGTGTGTGTGTGTGTGTGTGTGTGTGTGTGTGTGTGTGTTGTGTGTGTTTTGCCTGTCCTGGTTAAAAATGACATTGACCTGCCTTGTTAAGAGTCTATCAGCTGGGTGGAGGAAATGTCACCAGGTCTCGGAACAAGGTCACATTTTTCACGTCCCCTCCCGAGGAATCTGCACACTCCTCATCCTCCTCATCCCTCTTTCCCTTGTCCTCCTTTTCCCACAGATCCCCTTTTTTTTCTCCTTTCCTTGCTCCTGTTTTCTCTCCTCTCCTCCATCAAGTTAATTCTCTTTTTCCCTTCTTCTACTTATTTCTTTGCCCTTTTCTTCACTTCAGTTTCCCTCTTCCCCTCTTTTGTTCCCACCTGACCCCTTTTTTCTTCTATCCCCGTTTTATCTTTCATCCCTTTCTTTTCCACACCTCCTCTCCTCTTCATTACCCTTTCATTTTCTCCCCTCTCCTTCTTTTAATTTCCCTTTTGCCCCCTCTTGTGTGCTCCTCAATCCCCATTTCTTCACCTCCCACCCTACACAGTTCCTCTACACTTTTTTTCCTTTTACTCCTCACCCCTTCTCCTTTCACCTTCTCATCTCCCTCTTTATTCTCCCTTCTCCCCTGTTTCAACCCTTTTCCACTTGCTGTCCATCTTTCCTCTCCTCCCACCTGTTATTCCTCCCCTTCTATCCATCTTCCTCCGTTTTTCCTTCTTCTGTGCCACTTCTCCTCCTCCTCCTCCCTATCCTATCTCCAATTTCAATCTTTCGGATTGTCCTTCATCAAATCCCCTCTTCCTCCCCCTTCCCTCAATTCATCCACTTCCTCTCATCTCCTTTGCCCTCTCTTCTTCGTTACTTTCTTTCCTCATCTTCCTCCATCTCTTCTATATTGTGTACGGCCAATTAGTTTGGTCAGCTTTAAACAGCCGGGAGAAACTGATCTTTTTCTTTTTAACCTCCCTTCTCTCTCTCTCTCTCTCTCTCTCTCTCTCTCTCTCTCCCTCCCTCTTCCTCCCTCTCTATGTCTCTCACTCTCTCCCCTGCTCCTCGTTTTTTTCCCTCTCTTTCTGATTGTAATGCGATGTCTTTCTTTGTATTCAGCAGTTTTCTCCTCACTCGTTAATTAAGAGTGTGGAAGGTGAGAGAGGCAGGGGAGAGGTGTGTGTGTGTGTGTGTGTGTAAGTAAACCACCGTAGGTGCAAAATGCTTTTATGGCAGGAGGGATGAGTGTGTGTTTGTCAATGTGTGTGTATGTGTGTGTGTGTGAGCAAGGCAGCAAAGGGGTCCTACTGGGCCAATCAACATTAATGAAATCAGGTGGGTCTGTGTGTGTGTGTTTGTCGGAGTGCTTGGCTTGCAGAAGAGAGGGATCTAAAAGGGGTCTAAAGAGGAGAGAGAGCTAATTAGAGTTCCCTGTCTCACCAGAGTGTGGATCAAACACACACACACACACACTAAAATGCACAACTACAGGTACAGAGTACACACAGCGAGTGTGTGTGCGCCTGTAGATATTCATTTATACACACGCAGAGTTTCAAGTGAAGGTTTTCAATGTCAGGGAGGACTGAGCACAGCTGGTGGAAAGAGGACGACACATGCATACTAAAACACACACACACACACACGTCAGTACTGTACTTGTGAGGTCCCTCATTGGCATAATGCATTTTTAAGTTCATAACTCGAACCTGAAGCTAATTCTCAGTCTTAACCCTCAAACAATCTTTTCAGGAAGTGAGGACCAGACATGTCCTCACATACAAAAATCATAAAGCTTTCCAAACACGGCAAAAATGTACTCAGTTTCTAACAGTACTCACTTGCAAAACGTGTCCCTATTTCCCAAAAATACCATTGTTTTCCAGAATTTCTGCACACCCCTAAAACATTTAATTTTCCCAAAAAGTCCTCACTTTCTTAAAATGTCACCGTTTTCCAACAACGTTCTCATTTGTCCCGACTTTCCTAAAATACTGATGGAAATGCTTTCCAGAATCTCCCCATTTTCTAAAATGTCACCTTCCAAAAATGTCCCCACTTTCCAAAAACAACTCACCATTCTTCAAAAATGTCCATGTCCATGTCAATATATATATATATATATATATATATATATATAAAAAGAGAACGCCTTCAACCCTCAAGGTCTACAACTCAAATCAGCACAAACAACACAACCTTAAACTAACATATGGTCAATGTTGACACACAAATAATCCACACTGATACAGACGGACATAAGCTTAGTGAAATATTTCCAAACACACACACTCACATGTGTGTCTGATAAGGTGCAGATCAAAGGGAGGCCACAGTGTCTCTGTGTCTGCTTAATGTCTCCACTAATCTAGCCTGGGCCCCAACACACACATGTGCCTACCACGTGTTGGTGTGTGTGTGTGTGTGTGTGTGTGTGTGTGTGTGTGTGTGCTAAAAACTTGTAAGTCTGCCTTTGAACATGCCTGTGTACAGTGTCATATCTGTTAATATGTGTGTGTGTGTGTGTGTGTGTATCAGCATGCATGAGTGTGTATCTGACTGTGTGTCTCTGTGTGTTTTTATGATATTTTTTTTGTGTGTGTGTGTGTGTGTGTGTGTGTGTGTGTGTTCAGGTACCTTGTACAGCGCCGTTGTCTTGCTGGTTTCCATTAAGTTCAGGTTTATCCTCGGCTACAGCAGCGTCTGGTATGAAACACAAAGACAAGACAGAGTCTCAGTGGGTCGGCCAATAAAAAACAAACAGCACCTTGTAACTCTGTGTGGGTCAAAAAAAAAACAAACTGGATTTACAAAGAACACCGAGCCACAAACATTCGTCCGGAGAATTATATTTTTTGGATGTTTTTTTTTCTCTTGATGTTAATTGTCAAAGCACTAAGACATTTTTTTTTGATATTCGAACAAGAAACATTTGCCAGTTTCCTCACAACAAAATTCATTAGTGTTGGTTTTGGAAAACATAAGGTCTGTTATTATTCTTACAATTCCTATTAGTTACTATTAGGAATTGAAAGGATTTATTAAAATGATACTGCACCTAAAACACCATCCAAAGGTCCAATGTGTAACACTCAGAGGTTACCTTAGAATGAGCTGTTTTCAATCTACAGAAGGAGTGGGTTTCTACAGTAGCCCAGAACAGACAAATCAAACACTGACTCTAGACAGGGCCTTTTGACCACCATGCTGTCTCTTTCAGTTAGTTGCAGTCTCCTACTTTACCACTAGAGGCCACTAAAGTCCACACACTGGTCTTTTCATCTTCCGATTCAAAAATGTTGCCTACAAAATATCAGAAAACAACAAAAAATGCCCCAAACAATTTCCCAGAGCCCAAAGTGACGCCTTCAATTTGCTTGTTTAGTCCGAAACTCAAACATATTCAATGAACTACTATATGAGACAAATAAAAGCATTAAATGTCACATCTGAGAAGCTGGAACAAGCAAATATTTGGCTATATTTGCTTGATAAATGAGTTAAACAATTCATCGTTGTCCTTGAGTAAACACAGACATCAGTTTGGATTCATACATATAGTGGCCACTTTTTGAGGAACACACAGCTAAACACTACCAAATATGGAAGCACATGTCCAATAATGTGCAGTGTTAGACAACTGCGTTGGTTATTTTAGTATTTGTTTGTGAAGTGCACATTTACTTACTTACTTTACTTATTTGCAGCCTGTTTTAAGAGCTTCAGTCAACAACAGCTCAAATAGTACGACGGAGTATTAGGGCCAGAATAAAGTCGTAACATTACGAAAAAAAAGTCGTAATGTTACAAGAATAAAGTCATAATATTAGGTCTACGAGAATAAAGTCGTAACATTACGACTCTTTTTCTCGTAATATTACAACTTTATTCTTGTAATATTACGACTTTTTTTCGTAATGTTACGACTTTATTCTCGTAATTTCCAAAAAAATAATATTATTTTAGTCTCTTAGTCTGGCCCTAATACCCCGTTGTACACATAGTGATAGTCAAGTAAACACAAGGCTGGAAAATCATGCTATAAAAGTGAGAATGAAACAGATAAAAACTAACAAGAAGCACAGATTAGCACAAATGTAACAAAGAATCCAAGCTGGAATAATAAAAACAAGTAAGATACAAAGCAAAGGGCAAACGGACGGAGAGGCAGACAAAAAAAACAACCAACAAACATCCCGTCGTACCGTTCTTGGTGTTGTTGTTGGCGGCGTGCAGCGGCTCAGGAGAGGGGGAAGACGAGGACGAGTGTTTCAGAGCGTCCTCCACTCTCTCCCTCCTCTTCGACTCAAACTCCAGCGCCTCCTGCAGCTTCCTCTTGGCCTTCTTCTCCTTCTTCAGACGCTTCTGGATGGAGGCTGAGGGAGAAAGAGGAGATGAAACCTTTCTATTGACATTGGACATATATTGCGATTGTGCTCAGATTCTCAATTAAAATCATGATTTCCGGTTTGTATCAATGTTTTCTTAAATCTGGAGAACAAGATTTATAGGCCATGGCGTCTTTTGTACATATTTTATATCTTTTATTGTCTCTATATATTTGTATGTGAAAACTTACTTGGCAATAAACCTGATTCCTATCTCTTTAGAAGTACAGTACTTCATTATATGGTTTGTCACACATTTGACCTTTTATCAAAAGATGAAAATGCATATTACGATTTCAATAACATTTTGATTAATTGTGGCGCCCTAGAAGGCACCATTCTGTTAAAAATTGGTGGTGTGGTAGCTATTTGGCTTCCTAAAATATGCATCGTTTTGCAGTTCATACCCTACCTCAGCAATAAAAAGGATATTTTAATTTGGTAGAAATATATAATAAAGAAATAAAGGAATCTTTTTCTGTTATTATTTGTCTTCAGTCTCATTTTGTTTAAAGAAAAAATGTGAGAACAGTATCGTTAATCGCATCGAATTGTGAGTTAAGTGTATCAATAAATCCCCAGTCCCTCATTTAGAGCACAATTAGAGAAGTTCCAACCTTTTCTATTGGCTGTAAAACAATGGATTTGTCCCCGTATCATCTATCAAAAAGTATGTAAAAGGTCTGGTTTGTATGTCAGTCAGACCTCTGCTCTGTAGTTCAGAGGTGAGCTGTCGTTCCAGACTCTCTCTCATCTCTCTTTCTCGGTAGAGCTCCATCTTCAGCTCTCTTTTCTCCGCCTGGATCTGTTTGTCCTGCACCCGGGCGTTCTCCACCGCCACCTTCAACAGGCCCTGAGAGAACAAGTTCGGTTATAAGGCGGGTTACAGGAAAACAACCTTTAAAAAAGACATCAATTCCTGTATGCACATGTTGATAAGATTAACCATATTGTTAGCATTTGAACTAAAAACTACCATTGTTTTCTTTTGATGACATCTGTTTAAAGGTTTCTTAAAAGACATAAGCAACTTGATTATTTATGACGTTAAATCCTACAGTATATCTTCCAAACCTTTTCATGTTCTTATTTTCCACTTGGATGAGTCTGTAATTAACCATGATCACAATAAAAAGTCCCTCCAGGAAGTTGCGGTCGCAACAATTAACACAAATTCAACCAGTGTTCTGCATGACCTTCAAATTTTGTTTGATCACCATGTTTTTTCCGCAAACATCCTTGTTTCTAGTTGTAAAGACGCAGACATGTGCAGTACAAATGTGTCATATTTATCTTCCAAACAGTTTGATTTTATTCTCACTGGAACAAGTTCCCTTCGGTCCGGTCTAAAAACAAAATCTTGTGAAATCCTGGAGAGAATATCTTATAATATAATGTTGCTGTAATGTACTCTTCCATAATACTGATAATATTGTATTAAGCCACTGATACTCAAGTTATTAGAAACATAAAGCAAAAACAGGCTTTTACCTGTATGTTGGTGAGCAGGGTCTCCACTGACGACAGGCCGTCGGCGAATAGAAACGGAGCAGGAAAGCCAGGGGGCAGGGCTTGTCCCAGCGAAGACTCTTCTGTGAGGAACAGTTAACAAAAGACAACTTTAAATACTCAGCCTCGTCTGGTTTTGTTTTTTTTTTTTTTTTTTTGGTTTACATTGTTTTATTTTTAAATCTAGTCTGGTGTAATTTTTTCTCACTACTAATAAAATGAGCATAATTTGTTATTTTAGGATTTTTTCTTATTATTTAGATATTACAGATTATTCAGTTTTAACAAACTTTTCTATATATTTATATTTTTGTATCACAAATTATTATATTATTATACTGTTATTATAAAATATCAACATATCTCCTGAATAAAAATAATAAAACATTGTCCTTTTACGTTTTTTATGTTATAAGTTGGTTAAAGAACGTTAACGAGAAAATGAGAATATGATGGTAGTAATATGCTTATGTATTTATTTACAGATTTCTTTGTAAAAACTAAATAAAAAGGACTCTTAAAATGATTCTTACTACTTCGAACCAACAACAAAAGGGCAACTAAGCCGTCCACGAACTACAAAACCTGCCTTCAAAGTTTTAAAAAGGATTCAACTGCAGGTATCGTAAAAGCATCAAAGCCCCTGTTTACAGTGCTTATGCTAAGCTACGCTGACAGCAACAGACGAGAGAGAGTGTGTATCAATCTTAACTCGAGCAAAGGTAGCAAAATAACTATTTACCAAAATGTCAGACTATTCCTTTAACAGTCAACGTGCTTAAATTCCAGAAATACAAGCGTGTGTGTTTAACATCGGCGACGCGTTGTCACAAGCTTGGAGTAAAGTTTATGAAATGTTGATGTTTACTAAGGTATAAAAGGCAACGAAGCAGCATCAGAGAAATCAATTACACCCCACACACACACACACACACACACACACACACACACACGTAGAGGTCGTTAGTATTCAGACAATCATGTGGGGTACTAATTGGCAAGGATTAAAGACATCCTTGATTTGTGTGTGTGTGTGTGTGTGTGTGTGTGTGTGTGTGTGTGTGTGTGTGTGTGTGTGTGTGTGTTCATTGCGAGTGCGTCACAGTGTCTGATCAGCCCTTAATGCCTAACACACTGACAACTGGGTTAACTCTGCTGTGAAATTAACGCTGATTAAGATGCACTCTAACTCACACACACACACACCATCTCTATCCCCTATCTGCCACTTCATCCATACATCCCTTTACACTCTACCTTTCCTCTCTCGTATCTGTCTTCATCACCGTTCCTCCACTTCAACACTTGTTTTTTCCCTCATCTTCATCTTCCCAGCCGCCTTTCTGTCTCACCTTTTATTTTGAATTTCTCTTTACTCAATTTTTCCCAAATTAATTCCTGAATTTTACTGAAACTTTCCTTTCCTTCAAGACAGTTTTATTTGTATTGCCCCCAAAATCACAAAATTGCCTCAAAGGGCTCCTCTGTTCTTTTATCTTTCCACTGTAATTTCATTTCCTCTTTACCTTATGGTCTTTTCCTCTCTGTCTGCCATTTTATACTCTTTCGCCCCAACCTCTCACCACCCCTTCCCCTCTCAGAGATACTAAATCTAATGACGAAACTGCAGAGACTGGAGAAGGTGGAGATGAGCACCTCATACTTAAATTTTTTATATATATATATATATATATATATATATATATATATATAGGGAAGACACCACTGTTGGGAGACCAAAAAAGACTGAATGAATGAAGTGAAAACAAAACAGATTATTTACTAAAATAACTGAGATTTAACTTCCCCTGTACATTTCATCTAATTGTGGCGATTCAATTTTATTTTTTGGCCAAAAAAGTGCCGGGAAGATGAGGAAACAGGAGTGGATAAGTGGGACAAAAGGTGAGCAGAGCAAAGGACAAATGGTAGAAGATGAAGAATTTGAGGAAAAACTAAAATAAAAATGAAAGATGAGGTGAGGGAGGGAGGAAAGGGGGTTTTAAAAGGATTAAAATAGAAAGAGAAAGGCATTTTGAGAAAAAGAGGAGTGGAGAGGATTACAATGATGGTAGGGAGGAATGGTGAGTGAAAACAGGAAGAATTCATTTTTGAGTCTGAGTAATGTTTAACTGGAGCTCAATCAAGTGCTTTTATTTTGAAAAAGGACTAAAATGGAGTATTATACAGTAACTTTGATGACTTGCTGCTGCAGTAGTGGGTTCAACCTTGACCTGTGGCACTTTGCTGCTCGTCATCTCTCCCCCCCCTTCCTGTCACTATAATAATGTTTGTACTGAAACAAACAACAGTCACAAACTACAAATACGTTTTATGTTGCCTGTGAGTTGACACTTTATGCCTAATAAATGTTATGAGTCTGTTACAGTATTAAAAAGCAAGTTTTCCTTAAGTTTTCTTAAGGGAATTCATGCCAATCACCAAAAATAAACCCCCAGTATTTGATTAACTTTGCTTCCAGTTGTCACAAACATGAATTAATCAACAGTGTGATTTCAGCACAAAAGGGCGATCAACACAATATTTAACACAATCTGGAGACCAAAAAGAAAACCGCACACATAAACCAACCACAGATATGACACACAGGAAGGTCATTTTCTATCACAAACACAAGTTTATTATGTAATTCTGCTACAGTAATTGCTCCAATATACCTTCCAGATGGAGGCAGGCCACTGAGAACATTTTGTTGTCTGTTATTTTCCCCTGAGATGCGCAGTAAACTTTTAAAAGTTTTCTAGTTATCAACATGACTCAAATACCTGCATGTTTTATAATGAGCAGTGTTGAAATCCAGTATATTTCACTCACAAGCAGCAGATCTCAACCAACACAACATTTTTAGGAACCTAAACTTGCCTTGAAAACAACCGTTTTATTCGCCTTGTTCTCAAACTTGCATCAAACTGCCCAAAACATAGCTGTAGTCACATCTTCACCCAACTACAGTCCTGTTTCGAGGAATTCTCGCTTGTGCTTCAGCTCATAAACTTTGTCTTAACCTGCCGCCATTAATGCATGTGCAACTCTCAATGGAGGTGAGAAGGAAGCGAGATGGCTCGCTCCTCAGCTAGTTTCTTTATCAGCTCTGGACAAACCCGTCCTGAGTGAACACCGAACCATTTGAGAGATGAGCCTCTGTCGACTTTGACTCTTCCCAGATGGCGCAGTCAGTCGGGTAACAAGTGCATACAGCTGCAGTGTGACTGTGTTTTCTAACCCTACAACTGCAGCTGAAACGAGTCACAAAAACCATCAATGACTTCCATTTAAAAATATCACTAAGCAGCTTTTTCTTCTTTGAAATGATCTCATGTTTCAAGTTGTCAAACAATGTCCTCTATTTTTTATGAGTTGCGTCCCAGTGATATAAGTTAAAGTGAGGCAGCCACATCCCAACATGACATAAAATGTGTCTTTTAAAAGTGAAAGTCAGTGACAGTTGAACACTTGCACATAGAGAAGCTGAATTTCTTTCCTTTAAGATTCATGCTCCTCGGAGAAGCAGCAACAGATTTTTATTTATTTATTTATTTTTTGCCCTTATTGATTTTAAAGGAAGCGTCCCCTCCCCTGCTCCTGCTGATGTCTGCAGCGGAGCTTCAGGAGTATGAATGGGGGGGTGAAATGAAGGGAAGGAGGTGGAGAGAAAAGAATGAGATGAAAACAAAATGTGTTATAAGAATGGAAAATACACAGAGTGAAAAGAGAGTGTGATGGAGGGAGGAGAGGCCCCACATGCTTTTAGTGTGTGACCTCTTGACCCCTTTTAGCCATGCCTCCTTCACTTAGCCTCCCCTCCTCCCCCCCATCTATCTATCTCACCCTCCCTCATTCCTCTGATTGATGGCTCAGAGACAGGTGATCAATAGGGGGGGGCTGAACATCCTGACGCGTCTGTTTCTCTGTTTGTGTGTGTGTCTGTATAGTCGTCTACGAGTGTGTAGTGTGTTTGCAGTCACTGTGTCTTTAGTGTGTGTGTGTGTGTTGTAAATACAGTAGATGAGGAAAGCCCTCCTAAGTGAGGACAATTTGTCAGTTGTCAAAACCAAATGGGTGAGGGTTTAGATTAAGGTGGGTAATGGAATATCCCACACTTACATAAGAGTGAGAGAGAGTGTCTCTTATGTTGTCGACCAGTAAACAGGCGATGTGTTCATGTGCATTTATGAGAATACCTTTCTGTCTGTGTGTGTTTGGATGTGTGTGTGTGTGTGTGTGTGTGTGTGTGTGTGTGTGTGTGTGTGTGTGTGTGGTCCAACCTTTGTCCTTTGTTATTTTCTTGATGGGTGCAGCAGGGTTGGGCAGTGCAACATCTGCATCAGCTGACACCAATCCTGTTGAAAGAAAAAGCACAGAGTGAGTTTGAGAGAGTGTGTGTGTGTGTGTGTGTGTGAGTACAGTAAGTTTGTATCTGTATGCTCTACAGACCTTAAAATGTGTGTTTTTACATTGAGGTATACTGTAAAACTGTAACTTTACTAGCCCGCTGTCGCTGCATGTTGAGACAAATAAAAGCAGGTCTCAATTACAAGCCTGGTCTGGATTTTATAGAAGTTCTTTGGATGTGTAAACCCTCTTAAAGCTCGCCTTAGATCACTTACACAAATATAAATGTTTAAACGTTTGTGGATATGGATGCTACACATTGTTAGATCAGTTAGATTCTCCACAATTCAATCGTTTAGTTCATGTTACACATAAACAGTGAGCACCAACAAATTATCAAATAAATGATTCGTAGTTCATATGTTATTCGACAGCCTAGGTTTTATACAAGTAATATTCATACTGGTTTAAATAAACCGGTGTGATAGGCCTGTCCCATAAAGAAACCTGACTGAGTTCAGTGACTGAAGCAAATAAAAGCTATTAACTGACGTTTAACAGTATACTGTTACAGTATGTGTATGCAAGTATTTATCTAAGATTCATTAAACAAACATATAAATGTGTCTACACATCTAGATATGTAAAGTAAGTTAATTGGTATGTTTGTCTGTCTGGGTGTGTGTATATATTACTTATTTTTTAATTAGTCGATCAGTCGTTTGGTATTTTTCTACATTTTCTGACATTTTATAAACCAATCACATTTTCCTAAAGTCTTCAAATGTCTTCACCTACTTTTATAGAAGACTTGAGAAACTGTAACCATTAAATATTTGCTTGAAATCCAACTTAAATGATTAACAAAAACTTCAACAACTATTGTTAAAAGATTTCCTTTCAATTTACTAAAATCGACCAATTGTTGCAGCTCTACAGCTTATTTTAGTCATATTGTGCACTTGTATGTATTGTGTGTGTGTGTGTGTGTGTGTGTGTGTGTGTGTGTGTGTGTGTGTGTGTGTGTGTTTATACCCAGTCTTTCAGGCGAGCTGGAGGCCGAGCTGCTGGGCTGCGACTGCAGAGGAGTGTTGGCCTCGTCAACAGATGGAGAGAGAGAGGGACTGTCGCACACTCTTTCCTGGAGATAAAGAAGTGTAATGAGTGAGGTGTGACTAAGTGTATTGATAACAATCCTGTAAGATCTCATGTGAATAATTAGAGGTCTCACTATGGTTGCTATGGGTTACCAGTGAGTGGCATTGACTGAAGAGGAGACGCTGCCATGTTGGAGATGTAGCATACAAACACATGATAATTTCCTCAACATTAGGAGAATTGAGCCATCTTGTATCGTGGCGTTTGGACAGCCACACCCTACAGTAGCTATACATAATACCAAAGCATACTGAATAAAAGGAAGGCAAAGGCAACTGAACTCTCTGCTTGGTCTTAAAAGATGCTTAAACTGATTCATTCTTCCTCCAAAGTGATGGCAGCCCCCAGTAATCGTTGCTAACAACATTGGGAAAGAAAACCCTAAATATGGTAAAAGTATAGTCAAAGTTATTTGTTGAGGAGTTCCTCAAGGACCCTACTGGGGTCCTCTATGGTTGTCATTTTAAAAAAAGTTTTTTTTAGACCAGCGGTTCCCAACCTTTTTCCAAAAGGGACCGCTTTCTTTTTATGGATATTTCATAATATATTCAATACGTAACAACAAACCAACAACTGATAAACTGTACAAGGAAACCAACTAATGAACGCAGTAACCGCCGCACATTTCTTTAAAACAAGAGATTTTTACTGATATTTTTAGGAACTTTATACTCTGTTTTATGTATTTTTTTCATTTTCAACAATCATACATACTTAATAGGCTTCTTTTTTTGACAAATCCAGTGTTTCCTTCTCATTGTTCTATCACCTCTTTAGTTGTTTTAACTGCGTTCTTTTCTACGAGCTGTGTTCAGGTCTTCAGTCTTCATCTAAATAATCTAAACTTAAAAAAATAACAATTTAATTTAGTTTTCTTTACAGAAATGAACAAAATGCTAAGATATAGACCTACTGTTTATATTATTACTTTTAAAAGTCTTAAAAGCTTTAAAGACTTTTAAAGGTCTTTGCTAAAGTGTGTGTTTACCTTGATAACAGGCGCGCGGTGTACGTGAGTGTGTATCTGCTGGGCTGCTGCGGCCATGTTGGCGATGGTGTTGAGGTGGTTCATCTGTGACATCGCCATGGCTACAGAGGCAGGCGGCAGCCCCATGGGCAGCAGAGGGTGGGGCATCATCATGAAGGGCAGGTCCAACCCTGAGTGAGGGAGAGAGGGAGAGGAGAGAGTGGGTGAGGAAGAACAGTAAGTGTGGCCTTTAATTAAAGTGAACTGCGTTGAAATTAAGTGAGAGACGTAAAAGAGAAACCAAGAAAGTTAAATGTTTATTCATTATTTTATTAGTATATATAATGGACAGAGCTTCCGAGTCTGAAGTGAGGCCAACGTGGAAGTGGAAGTGTCTTAAACCTGCATTTTATGTAACGGCCAGCAGGGGGCAGCTCCATTGGCTGCAATAAAAGACAGATACCATTCAGTCTTATGTAGAAATTAGTCTACTTCTCAGTTGATTCCTGAGCTCAGTAAACAGTTTCCTGATGAGTTTATGGTCTCAGTCTCTACATTCAAGTCTTCTTCCATACAGCATGCTGTTCATTTAGTAAATGATGGTCCCATTTAGAGTAAAATAGACCATGAAGCAGTGTATGCTCGCAGCCAATGAGAGCAGCTCAGCTCGCAGTACGTCACCTCTGCAACTGTGCCGAGCTCGAGGCTTCAAAACGGTTCACTACAAACCAACGGGTGCCGTCACGATAGCTTCACATTTGGTCTTCATCCAAGTACACCCACCAACACAAGTCTACTACAGATTAAAACATTCAGTGACTCTTGCTCTGTTACATAATCAGCGTAGGTTCATTTTGGTGAAGAATTAAATGCTATTCCCACGTTTTGCTTCATGGCAATCATCCAGGTATAAAAAGTCTAAGCAGTTAAACACAGATCGTGCCATAACCCCACCTATATGATAGAGATTGCAATGTAAATATACAGTAAACACTCTAAAATCACAAACTAATTATAAAGAGCTGTAAAGTGCACCCTCTGTGGAACCTATAAAATCATAAATGAATTTAAATTCTTAACCAAAATCAAGTTTGCTGAAAGACAATCATATGTTAAACCAACCTTCTACCCTTGAATCAGGGTTAAAAACAACGTAAAAATTAGATTAAAGGTTTTCTTTTACAGTGTTAATATGTTTTGTTTTTCTAGTGTTTGTTCTTCATTGTTTTTTAGTAAAATGGTTTGTATGGACAACAAACTGCAGCACACGACAAACCATCAGTCAACTTGATTGCCAGACTGTCAACACTATTTAATATGATTTATTTTTTTATTGTTTGCTTTCAATACATGTACCAGAGACTCCCTGGGAAGAAGCATTGATACCGACTGTTGTTTTCTGGTGAAATACAAGGGAAATGAGCCATTGATCTTCCTTCCAGATCAGCCACGTTTGACTTTACTGCAGGTAACGTCACATCCAATACTTCCTTCTTTTTCTGTGTTCTTTAAATGTGTTTTTATCTCTTTTTTTTAACATTTGCCTTTTGGATAAACTGTGAAATGAAGCCTTTGTGAGACTGACAGAGAGAGAGGGAGGGAGAGAGAGAGAGATAGAGGGACGGAGCGGTATTGTGTCTGTGAACTTGTGTTGAACTTAACCTTGAGGAAAGAGAGAGGGAGAGGTGTCATCTGAGTGTCAAATGTCTCGCTAATAAAAGTTGACAAAGCAGAGGAGGAGGGAGAGAAAGAAAGGAAGAGGAGAAAATATGGAGGTCAAAGGGTGATGAGGCGAAAGAAAAGGGAGGTCATTCTTTCATTTTTTTTCCCTGTGTCTTTTTATTTTGATCTTTTATCTGTTTCTGTTTATCCTCTTTTTTTACTCCTCACTTATTTTGTTTTTTTAATACTGTAATTTTACTGTACACTGTTGTTCTTCACGGATTCATAGATCCAGTTCTCAGCATTAATATTATTTATTAATTAATTACACTGCTGTTATATATTGTATACAAACATATTTTACATATTTTCTATGTATATATTGTTATATATTACAGTATAATGCATATATTTGTACAGTCTTAGTCTTATTTCTATATTTTTATATTGTTATATACTGTAGTATACATATTCTTACATACATTTTCTTTTTTAATATATATAGTTGTTATATATTGTAGTATAATGCACATATTTTTTACATTTTTCTTCTATAATATTCTTTGTTTAGCAACATGAGTAACCTTATTTCTCCCCTGGGAGTATTTTTAAATCTAATTTTTTATCCTTCTCCCCCATTTCATTTTTTCTCCATCTTTCCATCTCTCTACCCCTCCATTTTTTTTTATCACTTTCCACACCTCTTCCTTCATCCATCTCTCACTTCTTGTCATTCTCTACCTCTTTTCTCCCCCCCATTCCTCCCTTTTTTCCCCCTCACACCGACTATGTGCACACAACACTGCGTTTGCGAGGACCTTCCATTAACTTTAATTCATCCTTTAACCCCCCGAAACCTCCTAAAAAGCATAACCTTGACCTCTGACCTCTGCCCTCCCCTGACCTTTACAATAGCCCTCCTTTTCAAAGGCGAGCTCCCACAAGACGAACACTCTTGAGACGAGTCGCCTCAGCTATCAAACACACACACACACACCACACACACACACACACGCACGCACACGCCAAAAAAAAAAAAAAAAAAAGTCAGCGTCTGCTTTCATTCCAATGAAACAATAACACTGATTGCTGTTGTCGTGACGACTGAAGTGATAGAATAATCAATGGGAGTGTTTGTCGCCTCCCGCTGCCCAGTGTGTGTGCGCGCGTTTGTGTGTGTAAATACGTTACTTCTGCAATAAGAAAAAGAGCGAGTATGAGTGTGTTTCTGTCTGTTTGCGTGTCTGTCCATATGTGTGACAGTGTGTGTGTGTGTGTGTGTGTGTGTGTGTGTGTGTGTGTGTGTGTGCGGTGTGTGTGTGTGTGTGTGTGCGGTGTTGATAAATTGAGTCATTTAGTAGAGTGTGTGCTGATTAATCCAGGCAGAGTGTTAATACAGGAGATGGGAACAGATTAAATGGCGTACATTAACAAATATTGCCACCCCTTTAAACACACACACACACCCTGAAAGTGTGTGTGTGTGTGTGTGTGTGTGTGTGTGTGTGTGTGTGTGTGTGTGTACACTCACTGTTAGCCAGTAGCTGTTGTTGCTGCTGGAGTTGCTGTTGATTGACAGCGCCGATGGTTGGCCCCCTCCCACCCCCTGCTGCACCACCTCCTCCTCCAGCTCCTCCTACTGGTCCTCCTCCTCCTGGTCCTACGCCGTGGGATCCAGCAGGAGGGCTGGTCAGACGCTCCTTATCCCAAGAACACTCACTCCCTCCTGGGTAGAGACAGACAGAGGCGCTCATATTTAGACATAAAATAACCCCTAACCCTAACAGCAACCGGGTTTTCATCCAAATATGTCGCAAATTATAACCACATTTTGAGTAAATCGGCAAAAGAAAATGCCTTTTTTTTCCATCCATTACTGTTAGGAGTTGGTGGCCCTCAGGAAGAGCACCGGGCTTTGAAGCCAAAAGTTAGCCAATACGTCGCTGACAGAAAAATACTCCTTCCTATAAACTTCCACTGAGGTTGAGCATTACAACATTCGCAAAATGACTCAGAATTCGATCCATTTCAGCCCGGTGACAATTGGAAATTTTAGTTTTTTATTATTTAGTTTATTTAGTTAGTGGAGGGCTAAACTGAAGTTTGTGGTACTAAATCCATCCAAAATCCTCGCACTCGACTCGTATGCTATGGCGTGAAGTGTCTTTTTTGGGTTTTTTTAGCGCCATTGAGCAGCTTTCATAGGAATGAACGGAGCGCCGCCTCCAACGCTGTATCCAATTCTCCTCAATACATCCATGGGAAGAAGAGGGCGCGACAAGATGACACAATTTCAAGAGCGCCAGTTAAACCTCAAACGCTGAAAAGCGATGTTTATGTGTTAATGTGAGGACATCAGATCTGTGTGCAGCGATCATGGACGTATTATAAAGCCGTTGGAGCAGTAACAGCTCATCAGTCATGTGAGTTAAACGTTTCCATCTCCAATTAAACTCAACAGCAATCTAAAGGCAACATAAAAAAAAACTAAATAAGTTGATGTGGTGGAAGCGAAGTCCATGAGGAAAACCTTGATTGAACAGGATTCATTCATGTTCAATCCAAGGTATTGTTACCTGCAGGTTAATGTGCTCTACCTGAGACACTGACGTTGATGTTTGGAAACTCTGTCGGTTAAATTTGGAGTTTCATTGAAGTTTTTTAGTACATAAATACATACAGGGGTTTATTGTAAAGACAAAAAACAGGAACACATTTGCAGAGAAAGCATTAAAACACCTGAAAAATGATCAGATATCCTGGAAATGTTTGTATTTTAGCCCCTCACTCAGATCGCCTCAGTCAACCTGGCTGCGTATTTTTTCCAGAAATGTGAGCAAAATCCTTCCATCTACATTAATTTAGCTTAATAACACATTTCTTGTCGCTGTGGCTCATAAATACACACACAGTGATACAACTTTAACTGTAAAATAACAAATTCTACTTGATTTGAACTGTTACTTCAATTTGTCTGAAACTGCAGCTTATATTGAACGTCTGTAAGCAACCGCTGTCCTCTGTTGTAGAGAAAAACTCCTGGAAAATGTCAACACACATGATTTGTGAAACAGAGTTGGAAGTCTGAGGATCTTATTCACTGCAACCGGATGGGAAAAGTCAGTTTGTACAGCAGGAAAACACACAAGTTTTAAATGTTTAAAGTGTAAAAATCTAGAAAGAAAATCTAGTTTTACTCTTTTTAAAAAGAAAGAAAACATGTCAGTATTTCACAGTAACCTTGGGTTTAATTACAGCAAATCAATTTCCATTTGTTAAGCACTTTATGGACATTATGTAAGTATTTGTTAATCGTGTCCATTAACGCAACCTTAATAAACAATATGATGATGATCATTAATGTTATTAAACCTGTTTGTTATCTTCAGGATAAAGTTTCTCATTTGTCCAAAGAGTGAAACAATCACTTCTCTTTCTTCACACCTTCATTCCTGTACTCTTCCTCTCTTTTCTCTCTCTCTTTCTGTATAACGCTGCCTCTCTCGCCCTCCACATTTCTCTCTCTGCTCCCCTGTTCCCTCTCTCATCCATCTTCATCTCCATCCATTAGTTTGAATTAGCAACCGTCTCTCTCTATTATTGCCTACTGAATTCCCGACGCTGTGTGTGTGTGTGTGTGTGTGTGTGTGTGTGTGTGTGTGTGTGTGTGGATGACAGCTGGGCCTCATCCCCTCTGCCATTTACACCAGGGAAGAAAAGAAGTATAAACAGATGGGCAGATGTTCTCTCTCTCTTTCTCTCTCTCTCGCACACTTCTCATTTTTTCCTTGGCCTTGTCCTCTCCTTCTCTACCTCTTTTCTCTCCTCTGTCACTTTCTTTTCTCATTCACTTTTTTGTGTGTGATTATTTTCCATCTCTCCGTCTACCTCCGTCATCTCTTCTCTCAGAAACTTGCTCTTTTTGCTCTCAGTCCGCTCGAGTTTAATTCAGATTTAGCTGCTAAAATCGTCCTTCCCACATCTGTTTTTGTCCACCTGTCACCAAATATAACTCTTCTACACAAACTACACCGCAAATCTAATTATCTTTCAGGGTTTTAAACACTGCTAAGTTATCAAAAAACAACTCACAGGGAACCAGAAATGGTCAGTGTAATTGTCTAATGATGCTGGACGGCGTCCTGCATAAAGACCCTGTGGCAGCTGTCGGAGTCAGAGATCAACTACTGAGCTGTAGGCCAGGAGCCGGCACGCCAAAATCTGCCAACAAACTCTGAAAGGAATAAAAAATGCTGTTGAACCTCTTATAAAATTTGAAAGCCACGATGATGATATTCATTCTGCATTACATTTATACAGAGGTCATATTGTTAAAGTCACTCTGTAAAGCTATATTATGTAACATTTCTGCATTAAAAATGTCCATAAACACTAAACTTATGTTATATATTATGTTGCAAATGTTTCCAGCAATGTTCAAACCCAAGTCCTCCAGGAAGAGCACCGGGCTTTGAGGCCAATTTGACAGTTTATATTGTGAAAGAAGCGGCTTTTCCTCCCTGGTGTAAAACCGTGAATACATTATTTTGAGCGTCATAAACCACAAAATCTGAATTTGGTCCATTCAGTCCAATTACATTTTTAACATCTAGAAGAGGGATAAACCGGAAGTCAGCCGCTCGGCCGGCAGAAGTCTCATCATATTCATCCAGGTAATTTCTTTACAGCTGAAAGTGGCTTTTTTGGCTTCATGCGCCACTGAGCAGCTTTAATAGGAACGAAGGGAGCGCCATCTCCAACGTTGTATCCAGTTCTCTTCATACATCCACGATTCAAAGTCACCTGTCATATGGTGTCATATCCCCTTTGTGCATGCGTCAGCGTTGTGGTTGTCTGCAAGAAGCTGTCATAAATTTACTTTTTATCCAGTTTGAAGCCACATTTTTACCATCCACTGTTTAGATCTTGGTGGCTTTTTAACCCTAGATTTGAACCGGATGAAGGATTTTATGTCTGGATCTCAAGAAACTGTCGGAGAAACACTGATTTTTAAGGTGGAACTGCTTGAACTGAAGTGTTTTTAATCTCTAAATCGACATGATGGACTCGTGAAAAGGCGACTCGCGCTTTCTGTAGATAAAAACGTCTCATTCTAAGGTAACAAAAACACACCGATTCCTATATTCAGGTATTTATACACTAATTAAAACATACCTATGAATATTATATAATATTTCTGCCAATAGATCCTCCTAAATGTTTCACACTGGACCTTTAAGAACAAATCTGTTTGTACTAGAGGTTCTTGTTTGAGGCCTGATGTTTGTGATTGTTGACCTCTGTCTCTTTCTCACTCGTCTTTCTCTGCCTTTGTCTCTACCCATTTTCCGCTTCTTCCTTCCGTCCTCTCTCCCCGACAGAGATATGGTTTCCATTGACACATAAATATGTCACTCTCTCCCCTCCATCACTCCTCTCATTCATCCCTTTCTCCAATCTCTGTGTTTTTCTCATCTCTATAAAGAAAAACAGATATGACTGTCGCTGTAAGCGGGACGAGCCCGAGCGATCGACTTTCACCCATCAAACACCAGAAGATCTTTTCTTCTTTCCCCCCCATTTTCCTCTCGCCCTAAATATCCCTTTCTCTCATTATGAGTCTATGTTTCCCCTCTGTCCTCCCTCGCTTTATTTTCTTTTTCATTCGTACACTCGTTCCTCTGCTCCATTGTCTGCTGGAGTTTCCCAGGCCGGTGTGAGTGTCTCTTACAAAGAAAATAAGGTCGGACAATGAAAAGAAGGCTTTCTGCGCACTCACAAAACAAAACAAGAAAACACTCTGAATGAAATAAAAGAACAAGGAAGAAGAAGAGCAGGAGGGAATAAATAAAAAACGGCAGGGCAAAAGAGAATAAAACAAGAGAACAGAGGAATAGTAACTCTATCAGCCCATTTGCCAGGTCAGCTGAAGAAAAGGAAGAAATGGAAGAAGAGAAAGAAAAATAGAAACAGGGGAGTGGAAACAGAAGGAAGGATTGCACGCTCTCTCTCTCTCTCTTTTCTTTTCTCTTTGCTTTTTGTTTTCTGTCTATTTAATAATTCAGAGAAGCAAACACAGCAGAGATGGAGTGGACCGGAAAGTGTGTGTGTTAACTCTCTGTTTTTATATATATATATATATATATGTCACTTAGTACTTCAGTACCTTTTCCTATTTAGACAATGGGGGTTTAAAAGAAAAAAAGCTATTCCAGGTTTGGTTTCTTAGTTTCTCTCCATTTTACATCCAGCTCACATTCAAATTAAAATATTAAAAACATCAAATATATCATGGAAATCTGTAATAGGAAGAGAGATTTTAAGGAATATTAGGCTTTCCTGTACGTCACTTGGGAATTTATTTAGAAAGGTCGCTACGGACAAATTAGTTGCCTAAATGGCGGTGAAGTGTGCGTACACGTATTTCCCCACAAAATTCAGGATTTATAGAGAAATTAAAGCAGCGATGATCGGGCTCCTCGCAGGCTTACTTCCTGTTTCCAGTAGGTGGCACTATGACTGCGACTAGATATTGGCATGTAGACGTGTTCAGGGTGGGACTCTTATCAAAACGCGAAGTTTGGTTGAGATTGGACAAAGCACGCTGAAGTTACAATACGTGGAAATTCGACGCCACACTACAGACACGCCGTAACAGTGTTGGTCTTTAGGTTGCACTGACACAATTTTAACACAGGGAAATCGGCGCTGGTTATTTCAGTGGGAGAAGAGAACGGGAATGAGACTGTTTAAGAAATTACGATTTCTTAATAAAATAAGTGCTTATTGGTGGTTCAATATATGTTGAATTCACTATCTATCGTGTGTGTGTGTGGTGGTATTTGAGGAGTTGTTTCTGTCGTTACCTAAGTGGGGAGAGGGTACTGACCGTCTGATAATATTAAACATTAGTAACTCCGTCTTTCCCTCGCTGACAGTCCAACAAAAGGCTCCTCAACCACATGTTCATGAGCTATTTTACACCATTTAACTGTGGGAAGACTGCTTACAGGTGTGCACCGCCCGGTTTTATAGATCTGAAGTAGAGTTTTATAAATGAAGCCTGAGGTCGTTACAATGAGGACCACTGGAGAAAACACCATTTTCACTATTTTAACGACCTTTTTCCTTTCGTATGCTGTAAATGTTACTAATGGTTCAGCTAAAATAATAATAAGAAGAAGATCTAATAAGATATGAGCGTTGAAGAAAGAAATCTGAAGCGAGGAACAACAAAAAGGGAGCAAACGATGGAGAAGACGACACTCAATAGTATTGAAACCCGACCAGCCAGCACTTTCATAACACACACACACACACACACACACACACACACACACACACACACACACCTCTCTGTCATGTGTCTATAGGTTTGCAGTCGGTGTAAATGTTGAAACTGATCTCAGTGAAGAGATGATGTGTGACATGTTTCGGGTCGAGTTTCAATACTAAATAATAACTTTCTCTCCTGTGTTTGGTTTCCACGATGTGACGTGAGGTGAAGTCAGAAAACACGACATTAAATAGAAACTGATCCTCGAAGGGGGGAGGGGGGGGGGGTGTGAGAACAAGCAGTAAAGTAGAGAAACAGATATTTATATTTATAATAAGCTGCAGTTTGTGTCATAGTAACAATTAACTAACTACGTTTAACTAATTTTGTGTGTGTGTGTGTGTGTGTGTGTGTGTGTGTGTGTTACCTGTGTGTGTGTTACCTGTGTGTGTGTGTGTGTGTGTGTGTGGGAGTGTAAGTCGTCGTTGTCCGACTCGTTGCCGTTCTGGAGACTCATCATCATCTTCATCTTCTGCAGCTTCTGGAGCTCGGCCATGGCTGCTGCTGTCAGACCTGTGACACACACACAGACAGACACACACACTACTGTTACCTTCATCATCATCATCATCATCATCATCATCATCAACATCATCAACAAAGATGTCCAATACTTGGCGACCAGTAAAAGTAAGTAAGTAAAATCCATCAATTCCTGACACAAACACAGTCACATCTTTTGTAAAAAACCTTGCAGGTGCCACCTGCTTTTTACCCATGATGCTTTGCAGCAGGCCGAGGCACGCATACTGACGCTCGCGCCCGGCCGTCGCTGTCAAAAATGTCTTTTCAGTCTGAGTGTTTTGTTGAATTGTTTCAGGGTGCGAGCGCTGTTTCAGACGCCTTGGGGCTGATGTATATTCACTGACACACACACACACATATATACAGAAAAACAACACACACACACACACACACACACACACACACACACACACACACACACACACACACACACACACACACACACACACACACACACACAAGAACACGCCCACACACACACACACACACACACACACACACACACACACACACACACACACACACACACAATCTTTTGTATGGACTAAGATCCCTGGCTCTGTGCACTGACCTGGAACTGACTTCTATACACAACAACCAGCAGAGTGAGAACGATGACCCTGTGTGTGTGTGTGTGTGTGTGTGTGTGTGTGTGTGTGTGTGTCTGTGTGTGCGCTTTATTGTGTAGATGCACTATTATGTTTGTAAGTGTGCATGTGAGCTTTTGCGTCCTGCTGAGTTTGTATGTACAGTTTGCTTTCATGTATAAATGCATGTGTGTGTGTGTGTTTGTGAGGGAATGCATGCTTATCTGTGCATACTTGTGTGTGTGTGTGTGCGTGTGTGTGCGTGTGTGTGTGTGTGTGTAGGTCAGTTGGTTTTGCCCCGGTCACGGTTGACGGCCTTGGAGGAATGTCCATTACACACACAGTACAGTTGTCTGAAAGCTATAAAGAAAACAAGATCGAGGGAGGAGGGAAAAAGGAGTGGAGGGAGGAGGAGGAGTTGTCGCGTTGCTCGAAAATTTAATTTAAAGCAGGATGGAGGGATGATGGATAGATGGATGGATGGGTGAGGGAGGGAGGGAGGGAGGGAGGAGGTTACGGAGAGAGAAAGAGTGTGTTGTGTGCAGGTTAAAGTAAACTGGAGTTAATTAACTACAGGAGGTACAAAGTTTAAAAAAAAAATAAATAAATAAGTTTACCACAAAAAAGTGAGTTTTAATAGTTTAAAATAGTAAGTGATGTTTTTTGTGGTAAAAAAAGAGACATGACAATACTTTTCTGTAACTGTTACCTTCCTCACATTAATACATGACACAGATCTGTTTGACTGCTGCTCTTTTAAAGCTATAGTATGTAATTTCCACATTAAAACGTCTATAAACTCTAGCTCTATGTTCTATATGTAGTCGAGGTCTTACATTATCTTAAATGTTTCCAACAATGTTTAAACTCATATCCCTCTTTGTGCCTGCGTCAGCGTTGTGGTTGTCTGCCAGAAGCTGTCATTCATTGCCTTATTATCATCCGGTCTGCAGCCACATTTTTACCATCCACTGTTTAGATCTTGGTGCTTTTTAATTCTAGATTTGAACCGGATGAAGGATTTTAGTCGCCAAACTTTTGTTATTGTTTTGATATGAGAGACCCCCTAGTGTCAGAAATTAAATACTGCACGTTTATCAAAGTCATCTTGTTGCACTCTCTTCTGCGATTGTATAACGGCATCTGACTGGAGAATTACCTCCACCTAACAACGTAAGCAAGCAAAGCAGCAATAATGAACTTTCATTTTGTGTTGATTCTGGCGGCCCCTGTGGACAAAGGCGGCAGTGTTTCCTCCTCATGGCACGCATTAAGACTAACTATATAAAAATCAACATTAAATTGAGACAATTTCATAACCAGTTAAAAACTCCTTGTCCTACATTTAAACAATATCAAATATAATATGTTTTTAAGAATTGATTTGCATGTATATATAAATATATGTACCTTCCGTTACTTTCTGCTTTATTAGTTTTTATTGAAACCTGATGATGGATCTTGATCTAACTCGGAATTTGAACCGAACTCTACCAGAATCCACCAGTCGGTGATTTACATTGAAGCATCGTCCGTTTCACACACTGTAATGACGAGAGGCTGCCGGCGGAGAAAGGAAAAAGGGAGAATAGCAGAAGACAGAAAGAAAGGGGGTCCCAGTCAAAGAGCCTGAGGCAGAGTGACCAGACGTATTGTCTGCTGTCCTGCTGAGAGAGAGGAGGAGGAAAGAAATGGAGAAACATGGTGGAGGAAAGGAGGCCAAAAGTGAAGAGAGGAGGAAGAGAAGACCATACGGAGGGCTGCTGCTAACAAACCGGAATATAAAGTGAAGCAAATGGTACCAATCGGATGTAAAAAACGATGCATTAACAGTTTATTTGGGGGGGAAAAGGATATTTAATGTTGTTTTCCACGACAGCAGCGGGTGTCAAACTGCTCATAACGAATGATTAAAGGTGAAGAGAAGAGGAAGCCGAGTAAAACTGAAAGGGGACGAAATGAGGAACAGAACAAAGGGAAGGAAAGAAGTAGGATTGATGTGAAAAGGAAGCAGAAAAGCATGGAGACGAGAGGATATAAAGATGGAAAGGCGAGAGAGAGAGAGAAAAGGGTCTGGAAATGGAAAAACAGTCAGAAAGAAGAATGAGTGACATGGACGAAGTGGGATGGATGAAGAGGTGAAATAGATAACGTCGGGCGCTGTTGTGTGGGAAAACAAGGAAGGGATGAAGATGGAGAGAAAGTTAAACGTTAAATAAAAAGAGACTCGTAATGCGTTGGGACGTTTGAGTTGGTCGTTTCATTTGTTGTTTTAAAACTACTTGAACTCTGTCTGCCTAAATTATACCAAAAAATAATTAGACTGACAAATTATGACGAAACTTCTTCCAGGATTTATTATATTGTTGTCAGGGAGACACCACTTTTTATAACCGACTACACTGATTATTTCAGTATCCATCAGTTATTATAGTTACTAGTGCAGTGCCTGTAGGAAGTATGTGTTGCTATAGAAAAGTGGGAGGTTAAGTAGCTTTTTCATGGATGGCCAAATGAGGTTGTGTTTGAAGGTGTAGCAGCTAGCTACAGACGAACATCCACAGTTTTTTTTTTTTTTTTTTTTCCTTCTTTTTTTTTTTCCCCCCGGGCGGAAAAACCTCCCCCCCGGTTTTTTAAAAATTTATAAACCAAAAAATTTTTTTTAAAAAAGAAGAGGGGGCCCAACACCCGGCAAAATCCGCTGGGGGTGTAATGTTAGATTAGCGTGTTTTTTAAGGTGTGTCGTAGGGGTGGGCTCAGCAGTGATTGGCTCTGGTGCACACCTGGCTATGGTGGCTATGGTAATGCTAGCGGAATTCGTAAATCATTTATGAAATAATTTATTAACGGTATCTTTGTAGTCCAAACAAAGCCGACGTTGTACACCCTTAAACCACACAGCAGCCATGTTGAAACTCTCAGGTCAGTCTGATCCTGATCTGCAGAGATATTTGAGCCACACAGACACAGACAGACAGAAAGACTTTTATAGACAGATTTCCTTTTTAACTTTTGTTTTTAGTTTGGTTCCCAGAGTGGGTTTGTTCATTTTAGTTTAATTTTTATTGTTTAAAAATGTCTCAGTGTTAGTTTTAGTTTTTTTAAATAATAATATGGAGGCAATTTTTCAAGACACTTTGTGAAGGCAGTTTATTCACAGTCTCCTGCCTGTTGTGTTTACAAAATGTTACAACTGAAGACATTTTCTGTATATATATTTTAAGTAAGTACACAATATTATTGCAGTTAGTTTCAGTTTTTATTTTTATTTCAGTTAACATCCAGTTTAGTTTAAGTTAACTATAATAACCTTGGTATCCATTAATTTGACAATTATTTTCTGGATTAATCAATTCAACTCACAGTCTATAAAATGTCACAAAGCAGTGAGAAAGTCCCAAGAAGAAACTTCAGATGTTTTGTTTTGTTCAAGCAACAGTTGAGAACTTAAAGACAACAGGAACCAGTTGACGTCTTTACTTACAAACTGATTAATTGATTATCGAAATAGTTCCCAATAGATCCTCCTAAATGTTACATGCTGGACCTTTGAACTTTTAGTCCAAAATTAGGAGGAAAACTTGACTTTTAAAAAGTTCACCAAACATATTCAAAAGAAAGACCGCCTGGAAACGTGTTTATAACAGTATATGTTCAAATGAAGTCTCGCTAGCTGCTAGTGGCTCTGTGAGGCTGCACTTTAGCAGAGATACCTTGGGATAAATGCTAATGTCAGCATGCTAACATGTTCCCAATGACAGTATGTTGTTCACCATGCTTGACATATTAGGTTTGCGTTTTGGCATCGACATACATAAAGATGGACGACATGACAGCTCCCCAACAAGTGAAGCCAAAACATCTCAATCGCCCCCTAGTGGCTGGTTGCAGTATAAGTCATTAAGCCTGCTGCCTCCATGTTAGCAGACGGGCCAAACTAAAAAGTCAAAGTACACGTCAAATAAATTTTCCCCCAAAGATGTAGGAAGTGTTTTCTGATAAGTTTGGGGTTTAATTAGTTATTTAAAGCTTTGATTGATCATGATTGACACTCGTGCCTTACTCAAGTTTGAGTCGGTTGGGCGTATCCGGGATATTTTGGCTTCATTTTTGTTCAGTGGGAGGAAGTGGAGACACGGTGTCCATCTTTTAAACAGAACGTCGGTGGTATTTAGTCATAAACCAATACTGTACTGGACAAATTAAAACCTTGTGCTGGTGATGATGAGTCACAACAATTAATCCTCTGGGGTGTTCGCAAAAAATCCATCTAATAGCCGTCAAGACTCAAAGCCAAATATGATAATATGGTAATGTCAGGGGATCACTAGAGTCATTAGGATTCAACCTCCTGGGACTACGAAGATTTTGCACCATTAAGTCCAGTAGATGTTGAGATAT